GGTCGTGAGTGGTCGACGCGCACAACTACCTCTCCCGAGCAGCAGTACCGCAGATATGGCAACGACTTTTGGCAGAAAGAATACATGCGTTTTAGCGATTTGTTCTTCAAGCATTGGGGCGATGCAGGCATGGAACCACGACCGGGGCAGCCAGGGAGGAAGTTGATAACCAGTCTGCCTGGTAATCACGACCTGGGATTCGCAAGAGGTGTTCAGATTGGGGTCAGGAATCGCTTCAATGCCTATTTTGGCGACGGGAACAGGATCGATGTCATTGCAAACCACACGTTTGTCTCAATTGACAGCGTATCTCTGAGTGCGCTGGGCCAGGAATCACCGGAGCAAGTGGAAAACATCTGGCGGCCTACAAAGGACTTTCTCGAGGATGCAAAGAAGCGCAAGAGACGGCTTGTACAACGCGAACTTCGCGCTCAACAGGGTCTGAGGCCATACCCGGGCATGCCTCATTACGACATCAAAGCGGAGGATTTGGCAAAGTCTCAGCTCCCACATGCAAACGACGATGTGACTGAGTTTCCAACCATTCTCCTTTCACACGTTCCACTCTTCCGTCCGCCAGGCACGCCCTGTGGTCCTCTTCGCGAACACTGGCCCCCAACCCCTCCTCTCCCCGGCCAACCGCCTCTCGAACACGACGACCGCAATGCCATTTCCGTGCGCGGCGGATACCAGTATCAAAACGTGCTCAACCGCGAGATCACAGCTGATATCGCCGAAAAAGTCGGAGACATCCGCTACGCCTTCTCGGGCGATGACCATGATTACTGCGAGGTACTGCACAAAGCCTACACAAGCGCCGGCGGCGGCATCCGCGAGATAACCGTCAAGAGCATCAGCTGGGCCATGGGCGTCCGTCTCCCGGGAATCGTACTCCTGTCCCTCTGGAACCCCGTCGACTCGCACGGCAACCCCAAGTCCGGCGACGCCAGCAAAACTGTCCAGTCCAAACTTTGCATTCTCCCCGACCAAATCGGTACCTTTTTGAAATACGGCCTCCTCTTCGGCCTCACCTTCCTCCTCCTCACTTTCCGCGCCGCCCTCCTAGCAACAGGCATTTTATCTACCGGTCCTGAAGCACCTGAGCCTCCCCTCCTCCCCACAACCAATACCTCGCCCTCCATGTCCTCTGCCGAACACGAAAAATCAACAGCTCAGTACATGTCCGCTTCTTCCGAATACGAAACTCACTCTTCTCATTCATCCACTTCTTCGGATCGTAGTGCAAATAACAACAATCCGGCTGTTCGCACAACCAGAGCGCATACGCGTAGTAATATCGCCGCCGAGAATGAGGAGACGAGGGGAAACAAACCGAGGATTTATGGGAGTCATAAGCATGCTACTGCTGGTGTGAGTACGGCGAAAGCAGGGTGGCGAGGAGGTAAGAAGAAAGGCGGGATTGAGATTTTTTGGGGTGAACTCAGGAGTGGGCTGGGGACCGTCGTGTTGTGTGGGGGGTTGTGGTATGTGTTTCTGGTTTGGATGGGGTGAATATATATAGTGTGACAAGTTTAGTTTGAGTATTTTAGAGAATTGTTTTTGGTGCTTCTTTCTTTTTTCCCTCCCCCCAAAACTTGAGCTTATGGTTTCGTGGGAGAATCGAGGTACAAGTGCAAGTCGTTGAAAATACACCATAATCTCATTCCAAAGGAACGATAATAGTACAAGCTTTCAAATTCAAGACTGTGCGTCTATTCATCGTTCATCTATCAATCACCCACCTCATGTTCTCCACAACAACGACAAAATACCTTACAACTTGAAATTCTCAATCCACTTCCTCGCCTCCTCAACGCCCTCATCCACCTTCTCCACATTCGTACCCTGACCAATTGCAGTAGGAGCACCAGGCTTACCACCGGCCTTGCCGCCGATAATAGGCGTGACTGCAGAAGCCCACTTGGGGCCGTCTGCGCCTGCGTTCTTGAAAGGCTATTATTGATGTATTAGCATTTGGAGTCATCCTCGTATGATGGTAGAAAGAAAGGGGAATAAGAAGAAAAACTCACCTCACTAACATAGCACCCGTGAACCACCTTGCCCTCCTCAGGTGAGGCAGAGAACAAGTACAACGAGCGATCCTTTAGCGCGCTCTTGGGGCCCGAAATGGTTTTGATGACTTCGCTAATGGCCTTGTTGACATTACTTGACCAGTCGAGCTTCTTAACCATGAACTTGTTGTTCTCGTCCTCGAAAAACTTGGTGACTTCGTCAAGAACACGCTTGTTGTCAGCCTTGGCCGCAGCCTTTTGTTCGTCGAGGATACTCTTCTGGATCTTTGCGAATTGCTCACGGAGTTTGTTCTTGGACAGGGCGGAAATGGTCAGGTTGTTGAGGTCGACGCCGATTTTCTTTGCTTCGGCTTCTTTTTGGGGTCCAAATGGCATTTTGCCCATGGCTTCGACGCGCTCTTGGAACTCGCCGGCGACACGCTGGACGTTGTAGGCTTCTTGGCCTGTTACGGCGACGATACGGCGGATACCCTTTGCGATACCGGATTCCTCCAGGATGACAAGGTCTTTAATCTCACCAGTCTTGAGTACGTGTGTTCCACCACAGAACTCAATCGAGAGCTTTTCCCATGCCTCGTTCTTGACGTCCTTGAGGAGATCCTCAACGGGCACACCGACCGAGACGACACGGACTGGGTCAGGATATGTCTCGCCGAAGACGGCACGTACACCTCGAATCTCCTTTGCAGACGCAAGCGGTACCTCCTTGGCATACACTTGTTTGTCTTCCTTGATGTACGTGGATGAGATTTTCTCCACCTTGTCGAGTTCTGCATCTGACAAACCGGCTTTGTGTGAAAAGTCAAAACGCAGCTTCTCTGGTGCAACGAGCGAACCCTTTTGGTCGACTTCGTTGCCGAGGACCTCGCGAAGGGCGTAGTTGAGAACGTGTGTGCCAGTGTGGTTGTTGCGGATAGGATGTCTCCGTAGCTCATCAAACTCGGCAATGACCTCGCTGCCTACGCTCAACTCTCCGTACTTGATGTAACCGGTATGTAGTACATAACCAGCATACACCTGCACATTCTCAATGCTGATTTCAGCCTCGCCATCAACCAACAGCTTTCCAGTGTCGAACTCTTGACCACCTTGTTCAGCATAGAAATTTGTGCGATCAAGCAAGACACCAAATTGCTCGCCCTTTGGTACCTCGGCAGTACTCTTGAGGAACTTCTTGTTGTGATATATGGCCTTGATAACGGCAGTGATGTTCTCGCGGCCGTACTTTGGTGAATCATCTGTCTTTGGAACCTCTGGCATGTTTTCCAGGGCACCGAGGTCGTGGACATCAAACTTGACAAGCAGGCCAGCAGCCTTCTTGTCACCTTTACTAGCCTCGCGAGCCTTTTCTTGTGCCACCTCGACTTCCTCATCATTGATCTTCAAGCCCCGCTCTTCAGCCATGAGTTTTGTCAGATCAACAGGGAAACCGTAGGTGTCGTACAGCCGCCAAACGTCGTCTCCTGGCAGCTCATCTGATCCCTTCGTCTTCGCCTTCTGCGCATACTTTTCGAAAATGGTTTCACCGCGATCCAGCGACTTGGCAAACGCCTTTTCCTCCTCGTCCAGGATCTCAATGATATCCTGCTGCTTCTTCCTGATCTCAGGGAACATGTCTCCCATCTGGTCGACGAGCGTAGGGACAATCTTGGAGAAGAAGTCGCCAATTTCACAGGCAAAGTACTTGCGCGCATAGCGAGCGCCTCTTCGCAGCACTCGGCGCACAACGTATCCTCGACCAACGTTGTTTGGTACACCACCGTCGGCAATGGCGAAGCTCATCATTCGGACGTGGTCTGCGACGACTCGGTATGCAGTATCGATGCCATCCGGATCCTCGTCGCCAAACTTGCCCCTGTACTCGCGTGCTCCAGTAATTTCCTGAATCTTTTGGAACAGTGGCGTAAAAACATCAGTGTCGTAGTTTGACTTCTTGTGTTGCAGCACCGAAACGAGTCGCTCGTATCCCATACCGGTATCGATGTGCTTGTTTGGCAGGGGTCGCAGTGATCGGTCGGGCTCGCGGTTGTACTGCATGAAAACGTTGTTCCAAATCTCAATGACCTCGGGGTCGTCCATGTTGACGAGTGAAGCGGCATTCCTGTACTGGCCATTCTCAGGCTCCCTCAGGTCATAGTGTACCTCTGAACAAGGCCCACATGGACCCTGGTCGCCCATTTCCCAAAAGTTGTCTTTCATGTCTCCGGGCAAAATGTGGTCCTCAGGCACACCAGCCTTGAGCCACAACTCCTTGGCCTCGAGATCTGGCTCCAACTCGTCGGTGCCCTCAAAGTAGGTGACATAGAGCCTCTTGGGGTCGATGCCGTAGACCTTTGTGAGCAGCTCCCAGGTGAAGCCAACGGCCTCCTTCTTGAAGTAGTCGCCGAAGCTCCAGTTGCCCAGCATCTCAAAGAAAGTGTGGTGGTAGCTGTCCTTGCCGACATCGTCGAGGTCGTTGTGCTTTCCGCCGGCGCGAATGCATTTTTGCGAGTTTGCGGCGCGCTTGAGCTGGGCAAAGTCGGACGAGGGGTCGATTGTGCCTTGGAAGATGGCCTTGTACTGGTTCATGCCCGCATTGGTGAAGAGGAGGGTCGGGTCGGAGAGGGGCACGACCGACGAGGAAGGGACTGTTTTTTGTGCGAGTCAATTGACATGATGCTGGAGAGAGGGAGAGGGGCAGCAAAGGCCGTGAGGGGCGAGAGAGCCTACCAAACGTGTGTCCGCGCTCCTTGAAGTAGTCGAGAAAGGTCTGGCGCACGCGGACGGCGCCCCATTCGTGCTTCTCCTGGGCGAGTGACATGGTTGCGGCCGGCGCGGTGGTGGTAGTGGTGGTGGTGGTCAGGGAGGGGTGGGGGGAGGGGCAGGGAGAGGAGGAGGAGGGGTCGAGGGGTCTGCAAAGCGGGCGCGTGCAGGAGAATAGGCGAGAGGAGAAAGTGGTCGGTCGAGTCAATGGCAATCGGCCGCTGATGGCTCTGGGCCGTGGGTGACTCAGAGGGGCGGCCGCTATCTTGCGGTGCAGCAGCAGCAGCATTCACCAGGCCTAACACCAGCCCAAAACCAGACGACAACGGTGGGTGCGTGGGTGCGTGGGCGGGCGGCGCCGAGAAGAGCTGCAGGCGCAAAAGCCCATAGGCCATGGTAGGCCATAGCATAGTAGCGCCATCATAGGCGAGTGCGGGGCGGTCATGGCCCTTTGCCTTCTGGAAGCTTCACGCACCTGCGCCTAGCCTCCTGCCGCTGCCGCCCCCATCCGCCTATAACACGCCAATCCACCATGTCCCTGACTTCTCCCCATGCCCCCCCCCGACCGACGACCCTGAACGGCCAGGATACATGTTCACCTTTTCCTCTCCAACACGCTGTCCCGTCTGAATAATTCCAAGCGACACAGGTTGCAATGCATGCATGGCCCAAGTCGTAGCGCACAGTAGCCAGGCCCGGCCCGCTTCCTATGCGCAACAGCAGAATGCGCCCCACGGCAAGAAGAGGCCTGCCGATGGCTCGCTGGAGAACGAGCAGCGGCTGAGCAAGCGCTTTGATCTGTTGAATCTGGGTATGTCGTCTTCACCCGTTGCATAGGCGTAGTACACAGTGTACTAACATCACCATCTCCCAGTCGACCACAACGGCACGCGCCTCTACATCCCCGTCCCAGGCTCCTCCCAAGGCACAAACACCACACACTCCCACTCGTCGCCTACCAACCAGCAACATCCCATCCCCGTCGCCGACGCCCTCGCCTTCGCCTCAACCCGCCCCCGCCGCGACCGCAAGCCACCACGCGCCCAAGACGCCATGGACGTCGAAGACACCCCCCACCGCGTCTACATATCCGACCTCAGCGCCGAGCTCAGCGACATCGAGTCAGACGAGGAAAACCCCATTTTCCTCTCCGACATTGAAAAGCACCTATCCAAGATCCCCGCCCACGTCCTGCGCGGGCCCGATCCCACCCCGAACCGCGATAACCAGATGGTGTTGTATAATGTCCCCACGAGCCTGACGGTCCCTGAGGCCCAGGATAATGTGCGCAAAGCCATTGTGGAGACTCGCCAGCGCATTCGCGATAGGCAGGTCAATCCCATTACGGAGCCGCCGAGTGTTTTTGCCAGAGGGACTGTGGAGTCTACGGGTCCAACGTCGAGTATGATGATGGATAGCAGTAATGATATACCCCCCGCAGAGGAAGCCAGCGGAGATGCCATGGACATTGATTAACGGATTTTTTTTCTTTTTTTCCATCATACCACCATTTTCATATGGTATGCATACATACATCTCACTTTACGAACGTCACGACCCTGAATATCATCTTTTTTCTTTTTCAAATTCATTTAAAAAAAATTCAGATAAATAAAACGCTCGCTTTGCTTTCATGTGAATTAACGTTAAAATGATGCTGATAATCTCTCTCCCACCATATCTCTCTCTCTCTACCTCCTCTTAGATTAACAATTGTTGTCTTTTTTTTTCCTCCTGCACAAAGACTTCATTCCCCTCTCCTCTCTTCCCCTCCATAAAAGAATACACGGGGGGCATGATCCAGTCACACACACTCTCTTTGAATTCTCTCAAAAATAACAGATTTTCTTAAACAAATGGATAGAAGAAGAAAGAAAAAAAAACTTTCATATTTTCTTTTCCTTCTTTACTCTCCTGGGGGGGGGGACAGAGAGAGAAACATTTCATATTTCTACCGCCTAAATCGGCCGAGGACGCCCAAGATTCTTGCTTGAGCAGGTCGGGGCGGCAATTGCTGGGATGATGCTTGTCCTTGCTCAACGTCCGACGTCGCAGGAGCACCACCACCTACCACCCCACTCTGCTGGGGTCCTGGTGCCACTGGTGGTCCGCCATACTGTCCCATTTCCATGGCGTACTGGTTCGGAGTCGTCTTTGCAGGGCCCTGTGGTGCGAAATACTGCGGCGGCGCATCGTTGTTTTGGTACAGTGGCGGGGGTTCCGACCATGCGCCGTCTTGACGCTGCGTGTACTGGGGATTTGCACCGTTGTTGGGAGCATAGGGATTTTGTGTTTGATAGAAGGTGAAGTGGTTTTGGGGCACTTGACCGTGGCGTTGGCGTTCAGAGTAGGAGATTAGGAACTAGATGGATGTTAGTATACTATACTTTTTGTGCCATGTTGAACGAGGGAAGGAACGTACGCGGTGATACGACAGCAGCGGTAGACCCTTTCGTAACCGTCTCTTTGCGTGGATACGACCGCCGACAAACCAGCCAAAGAATATGATGAAAAAGAGGGCGAAGACGATCCATTTGATGATGATGCCTTTCTGTTCATGTCAAAGTTAGTTTCTCCTTTTGCAATCGTTGCTGATAAAGTGGAATACAACACGTACCTCTGTGTACCAGAACCCGTCTTCGACAAAACATTCCGTGTCGCCGTCCACCGTCTCGGCGCAATAATACCTCTTTAACAGAGCCATTGCTGTGTATATGTATATGTGGATGTATGTGTGTATATGCAAATATCCACTTGTGCAAGCGGGCACCTCTCCCGAGTATATTGATCAAAACAAATGCAAACAATAAAAAAAGGATGGACAACCCAGAAATCAGATATGGAAAGCGGAGAGGACTAGGGTGTAGGAGCAGGGAAATCTCCAAGGAAAAAAGAGAATAATAATGTAAGGAGGAAACGTGGGGAACCAGAAATCGCGAGTCGTATAGTAATAATAAGAGGGCGCGAAAGCGGATTGCCGCGCAGGGCCAGAAGGATGATATGCAGCCCCTCTCAGCGGGTAGCAGGTGGGAACAAGCTGCGCCACTCAAACTCGCGGTTGGCTCGCCTTCGGCCACCCGAGATGCCGCGGGGATTGTGTGTGTCGCGTCTGGGAGAGGGTTTGGCAACGGGCGGTGTTTCACCCGTGTGTGGCGTGGGTGTGTGGTGGTTTCAAGTTTGCAGCAGGCAGGCAGCCAACGTCGACTTTTGGAGGAGGGGACACTTTGTTGCCGGACGACTAGTATGGGGGAGTGACAGGATGCAGCAGATTTAAGCGACGAGGACGAGGTTGTAGCGAAGGTTAATAATGTGGAATTGGGGGAAGCGAGAGAGAGATGGACACAAGGAAAAGGAAAGAAGGAAAGTGGAGATGAATAGTGGTGTGGCTGGTGAGAAGTCGAGGTTGGGGAAGAGGGGAGGAGGTCGGGATGATGAAGTGGAGGGAGACATGGTTAGCACATGCAAGGGACGCGCGGATTGGCGTGGCGTGGCGTAGCGTGCGTGTGCGTGTGCGTGGGCCGGGTCGAGGCAGCATCTTCTTCCCCTTGCAGGGCTGGCGTGCTCCAGCCCCAGAAAGCTTAATGGCGTCGTCCACATGACTGCGAGTGGCATACGTCAGCTTGGACTTGCCGGCGCCGAACCTTCTGCCCTTCCACTACACTTACATTACTCTCCTCACATCAGCCTCGTAAAGGATTATCACACTGTGGCTGTGGCGCCATTTATTTCGGAAAAAGTAAGCATCCAAACCGTGCCGCGACACTTGTTGAGGGCGAGTAGTCGATATTGAAACATGTTTTCTTGGGTGCGCGCGTTAGCCACGCTCAACCAGCCATGTCCATCCTTCTTGGCTCGCCGACAATGAATCATAGACGCTGCCCTGCCCGCTATCTGCTACCGCTTCCTGCTACCATCCGCCCCGCCGGGAGCCTCACGCAAAACAAAGAATGACAAACATTGACCAGGAAAGACGTTGTGGTATAATGCCACCAAACGCCAGGAGACCAAAAGTCACAGACCCAACAATGCCCCTATCACATGCAACTGCTAAACCCTTTGCCTTGCCTCGCCACACTCCAAATCTCCTATCCCGTTTCGCAGTACCAAGTACTGCTGCATCGCTGACCACATGTATCCCTAACACTCCATGCTAAAAAATGCCAAAAGGCATCGACTCCGACCCCATGCTTCAAGCATAACAGATAAAAAAAACAAAGGTCAAAGAGAAGAGAAAAGAAAATAAAAGAGTCAAAACCAGTTGTGTACAATTACATCAAAGTAGAGTAAGCAAAGTCTAATGCAGCAAGTTGCGAAGTGATGGACTGGCACTTGCCCCCGTGCTTGCCCGTTCAGTTGGTGCCGATGTCACCACCGGAGCATCCCGCATCACCGCGTCCATAGGGGTAGCCGGCCTGCCAGTTGCAGTACTACCATGGATCCCCGGGTATTGCGCTACCGCAGGAGGCGGAGGTGCAATAAATCCGCTTTCCCGTGACGCAGGGTGTGCGTGATGATGCGTGGGCGAGTACGGTATTGTCCTAGGCGACGGCATCGCGCCATTCACCAACATAGAGCCGTTGCTGTGGTGCAGCTGCGGTGGTCCGCTAATAGGCGGTCCCGAATACGGCGGTCGAAGCCCTGCTGCTACAATCGCCGAGTGCATCGGCGCGCCCGAAAATGCCGCGTATCCATTCGGCTGAGGCGGATACGGGGCGTGGTAAGGAGCGTTGTGCCCTACGGTTGGAGCTGGTAGCGGCGGGGGTACGTATCCAGTGCCATTGGGTAGGTGATGGCCAGGTCCAGGCGGTACACCACTGTGCCATGACGGCAGTGGAGGCGGTTGGTTTGGTGGGCCACCGGGCAGTGTCCATGTACCAGCCAACGCAGGCGGTGGCGGCGCATATTGTGGAATCTGCGCTGCAGGTAGGGGGTACTGCTGTGGCGGCTCCTTGAATATCGAGACGGACCTCGCTCGCTCCTCTTCCTCTTCATCCGTCCCATTCTTCCTCTTCCAATGGCACTTTTGACATAGATAGGCACCAGACGAAGCAACTGCCCCTCTGGTGTCCAAGCGCAGGCTCTTGCTTGCAGGCGAAGCAACAGCTGGGGCGTCCGACATGGCATGGTCTTCACTACCGTTACCATTGACGATTTTGCCCTCCTCGACAAGGGGCTTCCGTTCCATATGGCCGATCAGATCCACGCCATTCTTCATGTCCAGCGGGCCATCCACAATCCGAGAAACTTGTCCTGCTGTCACTTCCCCATCCACCTTCCACCATCGCGGACTAGCTTCAATCTTGCAGCGTACGCACTTTCGCTCCGACTTGTACACTGATGGCTCACTTGGTTCTTCCTTGACAGATATGCCTGCATTCGATTGACGTCCTCGTGCAGAAGTGGGAGTAGGGGCCGTGACCGCGGATGCCCTACGGTTAGTTGGTGCCTGCACAGCCTGTGGGGCGATGCGCGTCGACTGATCGACGAGATTGGCCTTGCGTGCTGTACCCGTTAGGGTGAGATCGGCCTGCTTGAATTCGCGAGCAAAGAGCTGGAGCGCAATCAGGTCTGTTCCTTCCACTTCTTCGTTCATGGGATGAACAATCGTCTTGGGAGTATGCTCTTTGCACCAGATTGCCGCAATCAGAGTTCCCGTTTCCCCGTTCATAGTCACTGTGGGTACTGCGTCTCTGCGAGAGACCTTGACAGGGGTCATGTCGAAACCGAGTATGTAGCCATGGTTGTGAGCACAGCCAACGTGGAATGTCGCGTGACATTGCAGACACGATGTGCATGCACCCTTGGTCGTTTTGCACAGCTTGCAGACTGCGTCGTATCGAAGCGTTGGCGCTCCGATGCCCTCGACCATATCCAGGCGGGCCGCGTTGCTGAATTTGATCTCAGCGTGCCAGAGGGCACAGTACACGTGTACCCAGTTGTTGTCGGCGGTTCGCTTCAGGGGCTCACGAGGAACAAGTGGCCGGCCTTTCTCCTGCTGCCGAAGGCGATATTCCTCTTTGGCCTTGTCGACAAGCTCCTTTTCCAGCCGCTCCTTCTCCCGATCGCGGTCAGTCTTTTTCTTGTGCGTAACCTTTGGCTGCTCATAGAACTCCTGCTCCGTATCTTTCTGAGGACATAGAACGCATTCGTAGGTCTTAGGTGCATTAGTATAGTTCCGTCAATGTAGCAAATTTGACTTACATATGAGACGCTTTCCTTCTTATCGTTTTTGCATGGATCACAGTACCACTTGTTGGCTTGTCGTATTTCTTCAACACCATAACAGGCTTTGTGGACCGTCATCTTGCAAGCTGCACATTCCAAACGTGTGCCTTCTGCTGATCGACATACAGCGCAGGGTAAAGCTCGATACTTTGGGGGCGACGGGACTGGAGGAGGAGTAGGCGCTTTGATGACTGGGGCGGGCTTCTCCTTCTTCTCTTTCTTTGGAACAGGCTCGCTGACAGGGGTCGATGCTCCACTGTCTCCATTCACAGCGGCCACAATTTTCTGTTTCTTCTTCGGTGGCTCTGCAATTGGCTGGGCTGTGGCGGCTGGGAGCTCGATATACTCGGGAGTAGCATTCTTCGAGCTGGGGTCTGACTGTGCAGCGTAGACCTCGCGCAGGAGCTCCTCGTCGATACGTCTCTTCCAAGCCTTTCCTCCGCCTTGCGCAACCTTCTTGGCAATCTCATCAACGTTTTCCCATGTCACTGCGTACTTGCGCCACAAGTTTGCACAACGTAGACAAAGCGCAATCAGGAACCCAGTCTTGTCCTTGGAACGACCGTCAGGCGGTACCATCTGGCCAGGAGTCACGCCTGGAGCCCGTCTCCATTGTCGAGAATGTCGGACTGCGCAGAACTTGCATTGGAAAACCCGTTTGCGTTGGATGGCCTTGGCACTGTCAAATGCTGAATCGTCTTGGTCGTCTGCAACATCATCAACGAGGCGAGCTTGCGCGTCAGGCTCAACCTTCTTAGTCCGACCTTTCCGACTACTGTATGAGCCCCAAATCTCTCTTCCTTTGGGTGTCTTCTTCCACATATAGTAGTAACGTACGGCGTCTCCGTAGAACATGGTCTTGCTGGTGTGCTGGCGGACGAGCCTGATCTCTGAACCGTACTTTGCGACACCTTCGTTCCACTTCTTTTCTTCTTCCTTGGTTAGCTCGGGCTCCCTCAAATCTTTCCGCTTGTCAATCTTCTTGACATGCTTCAAAGCAACATCGGCGTCGTATTGATGCTTCGTGAAGAGAGCCAAGCATTTATCCAAGAAATTGGTGTTGTAGGGCTCTACTCCAACATGCGACTTGGCCAATGCTTTCGCTCGGTCCATGTAAGCCTTGACTTGATCTTCGGTGACTGTCGGGGCATTGTCTTCTCCTCGTGTCGAATGTACTCCCAAAGGAGGCATCTTGAAAATCAGCTCCGCAGTACACTTGGGATCCTTGTTCGGCAGGTCCTCACCGCGGCGGACATAGCCGGGAGGTTCATCCATGACCCATTTGGGCCGCTTAGCCTTCTCCGCCTTGTCGGCTTCGATTGCAGCGACAGTTTCTTTGGATAGCTTGCCTTCTTTCTTGTTGCCGGCTGCCTTGACGTATCGCTTCTTAATCTCTGCAGGCTTGACGAATTCGACAGGATGCCCGTGCCAGACATTGACGTTGGCTTGGTGCCGGGGACCTAGCCGTGAACTCGCACGGGGATAGATTGCTCGATCATCGTACTGCAGTGCGTCCTCTACCCGGCAGTGGATGCCAAGGTACCGCATAGGCCACATCTTGGCTAGAGCGATCTCTGCCTGCGTGGCAGGGTGAGTGTCGATTTGCGAATCAGGATCCGGGGTTGGTGCATTGGTGTCGACGCCGGCCTCCTCCTCTTCCTCGTCAATCACCTCTTCTTCTTCAGCATCTTCATTGGTGGTGCCCAAACGTGCCTCCAATTTCTTCTCTTGAGCCCTGCTGCATGGACCGCAAGCCCAAGCAAAACCACGAGATGGCTTCTTCAGCAACGGTGGGCGAACACAGTTCATGTGATATGTATTGTGACATACTGCACATTCAACCGAGTCATTCCTAATCAAGTTAGCGCCGTCACGTGGACTGGGGGATGGAGGACCTACGCTGCGCAATATCCAATACAGCGCTTGCAGCTCTTGACGGCACTGGTCAATTCTTTGACGCGACTGGTCTCGAGACAAATGTACTTCCATCGTTCGTCGAGCGCCTTCTTGACCTTGTCCGGGACGTTGATGACCGAGGAGACGGGGATGACGTCGTACCAGCGATGAATGAAGCGATCAAAGACTTGGTTGAACCAGAAACTGTCCTTGGTCTTGCGGTACTCATCCAGGTCGCCAATCTCGCTGCGATGCAGGATCTGGCATTTCCCCCGAAGGGATGCAATGGGGCAAAGGTCCGAGTGCATCGTCGCATAGACGAGACGAGTGTCATTGTTGTAGCGCTGCACGTCTCGTGGGCGATAGAACCAATTGACGCGCAAAGACTCGACCCGCTTCTTGGGGTCGTTGTCGACGTGGATGAATTCCATGACCCGGCAGAGGTAGTAGGGCTCGCCGGGCGGCTCGCACACAAGGTACACTTGATCTGGACGTCCAATTAGAATGCATTACTCAACCCGCAGGACGTGGCTGGCGTAACGGAGCGACCGTCAGCTGCAGCCCAGGCAAAACACAACTTACCATTGACAGACACGGTCTGGCCATCGTCGGCCTCGAGGCGACCGTTTTTGAGAATGGCGGCCGTGTTCTCAAAAGTCATCATATTGGACTCTCGCGCGCTGCTGGCGGCTACCATGGTGCCGGCCTGACTGCCGCGCTTCGCCCCTGCTTGGCTTGGCGCTGTGGCACTTGCGTGACTACCATTTGCGGCACTGGCAGCAGCGTTTTTGCGCCGTTTTGTTGGGGGCTGAGGCTGCAAAGTGCTAGACTGAGTCGATGCAGCCGTGGCTGAGGTGCTGGGAGCAGTGGGATTCGCCGCGCTGTCCTTGGTGTTGGAGCCGGAATTACCCCACGACCCATTGCCTTGTGCAGGGCCGGAACCTTTCTTTCCACTCACACTCGAAGCATGCCCGCTGTCGGGAGCCACGGAACTACGCGACGGTGGATCAGACACGTTGCCATTCGCAGATGCAGCTGGCACTTCAAAGTCCATTTCGGCGTCCTCTGCATAATTAGGTCGCGACCGGCCTGGGCGGCCTCGCGAGCGCGTGCCATATGATGATGCTGCTGCCTCACCATTTTGCTCGGGCTCCTTGGACAATGGTTTCGTTTTGCCAGAGGCACCATTGGCCGCTTCCAGGGAAGGCTGCACGTCGTCCATGGCTGAAGACGCGTCGTCGGCGTCTGGTGCGGGTTGGCGCACGTCGAGAGAAGCAGCGGGTGTCGAGTTCCGGGTAGAGGAAGGCCTGCTAGTGGATTTTGAAAGCGCTGCTTCTGATGCAGCGCCGGGTGGAGGCTGCAGATTGTTTGGCGCGTCCTCTTCGTTGCGCGGTGAAGGGGCATTGGACAGGCCTCCAGTCGTCGAGGACGGAGCCTCGCCCCCGTCCGTCTTTGCGTCGGCCATGGCGAATCTTGCACGGGGGTAATAGATTTGATACAAACAATGGGCCAAAAGCCGGCGTGGAACCCTCTCAAAGCAGGCGCGGGCTGTCGCCGGGGTTGTTGGTGAGGAAAAGCCCGTCAAGTAGGGATATCAACGCAGCATGAGAATGCCTGTGAGCGCATACACACGAACTTGGTGGGCAGTGGGTTCAAAGCGGGCAATTTGGAGATGTTGGACGTTTTTTTCTGATGGGGCCGATGGCGAAACCAGGTAATGTTTCACGATGTAGTGGGAGAAAGCGAGGCGGTGGGGAGAAGGCAGTGGAGAAGGGAGCAGTGGTTGAAGGAATTGAGAGATGGCGAGGGCGGGATAGACTCGCTGTAGTATGGGTCTAACGGTGCCAAGCAAGGCCCAAGGCTATGTCCGTGGGACCTAGTTCTTTCTTACGCATATCTCTCTTTCTCATCGGTGCTTGCTCGCAACAGCACCCTCGCCGCAGCGCCAACACCCTCCCATGCCTCAGTGCTGCCCGCTTCGCTTCATCTGCTGGGGGCCCGCCGCCGATGGGCCTCTGGGGACGGGGTGGTTTTTTTGATGGGGTTTTTTTGGGCGTCGTTCATGTTCACACGCTTCGTCAACCCACGATCTCCACTACCCCTGTCTAATACTCATAGCCAACGCCCCGCTCATACGGCGATTATCTCTGCTATTTGGCAAGTTCTCCCAGATGTCTCAGTCGTGGTGCCGCACACATGGCCAGTCTGCACATAGGTGACAGTCCAGGCACACTGCCCAGTAGCAGCCTGTCCGGACATCACAGCCTGTCCGCCCCCATCGGACACAGGTGTCCCATCGTCTGATACTGCGCTGGATCCCACAATGAGCGCTGTGTGCGCGGCGTGGGGACACTGAGGAAGGTTGAAGGAGGCGATGTATGGTGGTCTACGTACTAAATAGATTTAGCGCTCGACAGGGGTCCAACGACATCTCGCAGCTCGTTCGACAGAGTCGTGGATGGGCATGCCGCATCTTCCACGACACACATCCACCGTCACACTTGCTGGCCAGACTGTTGTCGAGCGCCTGCTGCTCACGCGGCGGCCAAACTCATGGCGCGCGCCGCTCTCGTTGATTGCTAACAATGTCTTCCGCGGCCCTGGCTGGCCTGCTAAGCTTGCTCGCGTATGACTCTCTTACACACAACCACTGCCTCGGGCCACATCAGCCCGGTCTCAGACGGCCCGACCATGTTCATCTCCAACCTGCGTTGTGTTGAGGGCGCATGTTTAGAGCGCTCGTGGTTGTGTCGCACGTCTGTCTGCGAAGCGGTGATGCAGCCGTTCGGTTCGCGGGATTACCCAGCGGCATCACTAGAGTAGGCAGGGCCCTGGCCGCCCCCTTCGAAACACCAGCCGCACGCCAGCGAATCCTCATCAGCGTCACACTGCCCGCTCCCCATTCGCCCGCCTGTCCTAGCAAAATCCAGATCGTTACCGACACTCGCTTTGTGACTACTGCCGCCCACCCACTCACGACACTGAGTGTGGCCAGGGTGCAATCTGGCTGTGAGCCTGTGCCCATTTTTCTCCCCAACCATCTAACAAGGCAGAACCATGTCGCCGCAAACTCATTATGCCACTGTTAACGGTTGACCGTGGTCAAACGCATATTCGCGCGTTCCCGACACCAGTCAAGATCACCGTTGCCAAAATTCAGCAGAGCTTCGGACGAGGTGCCTCGGTTGCTTGCGGAACACGCAGTCGGCCTTGCAAGGGTGATCCCATCACTAAGCGCCTCCAATTGCTGGCAGTTTTAACCACAGGGACAACATGATAACGTGTGATTACTTCTCCTATGTGGGCGACACCGACCTTGAGACTTGTTCAGAGTGATGCTAACGAAACAAAATATGCGTGCAAGTATGGACAGCGTCTCGGCTGAAATGGAAGCAGATGGAATCTCAATGGCCGTATTCGGAAGCCTTATGGTCATGAGTCCACTGCGACGCCCATACATGATGAATTAGAAGCCAGTTTGGTGGCCTTGGCAAGCCTGTCTAAAGAGATGGGAAAATTCAAGCTGCAATCAAATATCGCAAAGGACAGTATGTCTTCTCACAGAACAACATGTATTGTGCTATCTTTGGGTGCATTGTCCTAGGGTCAAGAGCAATGCGTACGAGGAGTGGCAAATATGCTCCGGACTGCGGATATTACCAACACGCCCTCAGGGGCAGATCAGGATGATAGCAAGGAATCATCAGTCCCAACTCCTGGAATAGGCATAGTTTGACTTGACATATTTTCTCTGCTTTGAGCAGAACAAGCAGGCAGCAGCAACGTTGGAGAACGGAAAGCACTCCGGTGGTCTCGGTGACGCCAAATAGTTTTGCGGCAGGGTGCCCAATGGGTGCAGACCAGCCTCGAGGTGAGAATCGTCAATTCCAAAGTCATGTGGCAAAACAATCGCTGCGAGTACAAGTAGACGTCTACTCTAATAGCCAGACTAATATATCGGAGATACGCAATCTCTAGTAGGTGCTTTGCTGATCTTATCCCGGCAGCAGACACTGTCGACCAAAAGGCTGACGGAGCCTTGCTTCCATTTGATGAGCAGCTTTCCGACATTTACTCATGTGGCGCGCGCTTCTCCTTTTCCGTTGTGTTATCCAGGCCCTGATTTCGTCACACTCAGCCCACAATCCGCGCTCTGCATGAACAAATATGGTATACGAGAACAACCACTCTGGTCCCAGACTGGGCCTGCGGCAAGAGTTTTGACGTTTTATGCACACGACTAGGTCTGCCCAATAACTTGCTTTCTGCCGGGGTGTGGCCGCCACTTAAAAGACGCGGACAAGGCCGTCTCCACCACCCAGTATGATTCTGACATCAGATGACCACAGGCAATCTCATCGTGCCAAAGCCAAAAACACAAGGAAGAATCTTTTCCCGTCGCCTTGTTGACGATATTCGAGTAGCCGAATCTTTTTTTCCCGCAAGATAAATGGGCATTGCTTAGTTCATGGTCTGGATGGCGGCTTCTGATGACATATGTGTGTGTGTCCATGCCCGAGATGATGCCGGTCTGACCTGCATTGACGCACAGACCATGACCATCTTATTAGCTGCGCTAGTAGCCCCAGTGTGGATCCCCGTCCACGCGACGACCCGATTTCACCCAAGCTCACACGGTCAGGCACATGTGGAGAAGCAACATTCTCATCCAACTACGCAAGGCACAATCGCAACAACCGACAATCAATTGAATTACTACAAAAACAGCCCTTTGAATGATTGGTTTATCAAACAGACAAAATGACTATGCTCGTATTAAACCTCGACCCTGGTGATCGCCCTGATCACCTTGATCGTCCATGCGTTTGAGAAACATCCGGCAATTGCAAAGCGTAGCGCATGACCCCGTTTACAAAGCGAAAACAGCGAGGAGACCGGCAAGACCAGCACCGAAGAATTGGACAGAGGTCTTGTCGGCTGCGCCAGCCGCAGCAGTAGACGAAGGCGCGCCAGCAGATCCAGAGTGAGAGCCAGAAGGAGAGCCAGAGCCAGATGGGGACTGGGATTCTAGTATACGGTTAGTAAATGATCGTGCACAGGCAAAATCCCGAGTGTTTTGCAACATACCTCCGGTAGCAGTGGGCTTAGCAGAGTTGGCACCGGTACCAGCAGCAGCACCGCTGGAAGGAGCGGCGCTGGGAGCAGCGGCACCAGCACCTGCAGGGCTGTCGACGAATGCGGTCTGGCTGCTGGGGAAGTGGTTGGTGATGCAAGTGTCGACACACTTGGAGTAGGCTTCAGTGGCCGCAGGAGAGCCATCGCCCTGGTCGCACTTGGCGGCGCACTCGTTGGTCTCGATGACCTGGGAAGCGTTGGGGCGAGCGTTGCCCAAGCATGCGGCCTGGCAGTTGACGTCGCCTGCATCGCAAGCCATAGCACACTGGACAGCGGATGAGAGCCCGGTAGGCATGGGCGCGGAGGATCCGGAGGTGCTGGTGATGCTCTGGGCCGAAGCGCCAATGGCGAAGAGGAGGACGGTAGAGTACTTCATTGTGTCGTGTGGTTGCGTGTGGCGTAAATTAGTATGGATAAGTAGCAATTAGCGAGCGTGGATGCTGGAGCAGTAGGTATGTACAGCCAAAAAAGAAACGAGTGTGGGCGTGTGCAACGAGAATCTGGGGCAGCAAGCCTAGCTTTTATTGTGCCTGAGCAAACCCAGTTATTACATAGGGGTATAGCGGGTCACGCTCTCGTAGCCCTTTTATTAGCTTTGACTATACCGAGCTGGGTATCGGCCGTCGGCCCGACAGCACGATACGAATGCACGTCGGTAGAACCCTACAAGTGGGAAACCGCGGCCGTTACAGGGGTCGGCCTGCCCTTTCCCCATTCATCTTACCACACGCGCTAAACACCGACGCGTCGTGCCTTTCACCCCAACGCCACTGTCAAACCTTGCTGCCTTGGCCGTCAATCACCATGGATGACAGTGACAGCGACAACTACGGCGATGAGTTTGATGATACCGAGTTTCTGAATGTCGCTACCCAGGCCGAAGAGGAGACTGCCCGTGCATTTCGACATTCGCCACGGTCCGTCAAGCGGCAGAGGGTCAGCAGTACGACCAGGCGAGCAGCCTCTGATTCTACCAGAGCACAACCCAGCCGTCGGAAAGGTCCTTTTGTGTCTTCTGACGGCGGCGAGGACAGCAGTGAAGAAGGTGGCCATGCATTGTCCGAACCAGACAGCCAAAACCTGACACCCCCTCGCAAGGCCGCTCCCTCGAGTCGTAGGAAGAAAGCGACATCGACATCTTGCGAAAATGACATTTCTGAAACAGATTCTGCATCACCTACAAAATCCACAACAGCCAATAAGCGACAGGAACGCATCCACATTCCAACCACAAATATAGACCTGCCAGACGTCTTTTACACGCAGCCGCCACAGGAACACTCGCCACCCTGGAAGCCAAGAGGTGCAATATGGGCAAAGCAATCCACCACCATAGGTGTACACAAACCACCTGGGTCAGTCAAGGGGCCCGACTTAAGTGCAACCAAGACCGTGTCTCTGCCTGGTAGGAAGTCGATATCGTCTCGACCAGCACCACAAGCACCACCATCTCCAGATTTATTCGATTCGACTATTGATTTGGACGAGTCCCCTCGATTGCCAGTTCTATCAGAACGTACAAGGGGCACTGTGACTGCTGAGTATGACTTCACACAAGACCTAGCAGACCTTCCGTCTGATGCGTTCGCTTCTTCATCCTCGTCTCCGCAGAAGCAAGCTGAGTCCGAGACTGCCAGTGCTCGCAAGCGTCCCGTGGCACCTCAGACAGGCCTACGACAGACGACGTTGTTTGGATCCGTTGGCGCCAACAGCAGTACATCGCAGTCTCAGGTAAACAAGCGCTACAGCTTCGTCGTTGACCAGAAAGCAGAGCCTCCAACTCACCACAAGCTGAACGCAGAAGCTATCAAAACATGGGTTTATCCGACGAATTTAGGTACCATTCGAGACTATCAGTTCAACATTGTTCAAAGAGGCCTCTTCAATAACCTACTGGTTGCTCTCCCTACTGGTCTTGGTAAGACCTTTATCGCAGCGACTATCATTCTCAACTGGTTCCGATGGACGGTCGACTCTCAGATCGTCTTTGTCGCCCCTACTAAACCTCTGGTAGCCCAGCAAGTCGAGGCATGCTTCAAGATTGCAGGTATACCCCGCTCATATACTACAATGCTCACGGGAGGCGTCCAAACAGGTTTAAGAGCTGAAGAGTGGAAGGAAAAGAGAGTGTTCTTCATGACACCCCAGACGCTTTTGAACGATTTGAAGGCTGGATATGCGGATCCAAAAAAGATTGTGCTACTGGTGGTCGACGAAGCTCACCGAGCCACGGGTGCATATGCGTACGTCGAGGTCGTTAGCTTCCTCCGACGTTTCAATACTAGCTTCCGTGTCTTGGCACTGACAGCCACGCCTGGTGCAGATGTAGAGTCCGTGCAGAAGGTTATTGACGGTCTCGATATTTCCAAGGTGGAGATTCGGACGGAGAACTCTATGGACATATGCAGCTATGTACATCAGCGCAAGATTGACAAGCAAGTTTTTCAGAATACCGACGAGATGGAGATGTGTATGGACCTCTACAGCGAGGCTCTGCAGCCCTTGGTGAACACAATTGCTGGTTTGAATGCATACTGGAGCAAGGACCCCCGCGATCTAACGCCCTTTGGCTGCCAACAAGCCAAGAAGAAGTGGTTCCAAGAGGCCGGACGTAACGCAAATCGGGGCCTCCAAAGCACTGTGCACACCATCTTTGCGATTCTTGCGTCCATCTCGCACGGAATGGATCTATTGAAATTTCATGGTGTAGGTCCTTTCTATATCAAGATGAAGGAATTTCAAGACGAAAGTGCAAAGACAAAGTCAAAATACAAGAAACAGATTCTCGACAGCGATGCCTGGAAAAAGCTTATGGGACGTCTTCAAGTGTGGATGGCCGATGAGAACTTTGTTGGCCATCCAAAGTTGGAGTATCTACAGCAAGTTGTGTTAGACCACTTTGTCAATGCAGACGACGGTCAGGGCGCCAATGGTGCAGCCTCTTCACAAACGAGGATCATGGTGTTTGCACATTTCCGTGACAGTGCTGAAGAAATTGCGCGCATTCTGAAGAGACATGAGCCAATGATTCGTCCGCGCATCTTTGTCGGACAAGCACACGGGAAAAATTCAGAAGGCATGAAGCAGAAAGACCAGTTGGAGGCTATTGAGAGGTTCAAGAATGGCGAATTCAACACACTCATTGCTACTTCGATCGGTGAAGAGGGTCTCGATATCGGTGAGGTAGATCTCATTATTTGCTACGACTCAAAAGCATCGCCTATTCGTATGCTGCAACGAATGGGTCGTACGGGAAGAAAGCGCGAGGGAAGAATTGTCATGCTCCAAATGCAAGGCAAGGAAGAAAACGATGCGAATAAGGCAAACGACAGTTACCTCAAGATGCAAGAGCTCATTGCTGCGGGCACTCATTTCAACTTCCACGACGACATATCTCGCAGAATCCTGCCGGCGGATGTAAAGCCCGTTGTCGACCGGCGTGTCGTGGACATACCAGTTGAAAATTCACAAGACTGGCTTCCAGAACCGAAGAAAGGACGGCGCGCCAAGAAGCCCGAGAAGAAGTTCCATATGCCCGACAACGTCATCACTGGCTTCGTCACTGCAGGTCGGATGGACGAGGAAATTGTGCCAAACGGTCGCGGAAAGAAAGCAGCCGCACCTAGTTATCCGAGTGAGGAGCCGTTCGTGATGCCCTCATTGGAGGAGGTACTTCTCAGCGATGACGCAACCCAAGATCTTGAGAAAAGATACCAGACGGTATTTGACGACGATGATGCTCCTATGGTAGATGTACTCGACTTGGGGAAATATCCTGGACGACAACGAATCTTGCCTTACTCAGCTCGCCGGGTTGGCCCAGGCTATGCTACGCGAGCATTTGCTTCCATGATGCAACGCATGCACGATATGGATCACAATCGTCTTGATGGTTTCAAGCTCAACTTACACTTTTCTGACTGCGAATCAGACATTGGGGACGATCTTGTTGTCCCGGAACCAGAACCCGCATTTGTCATTGACGACGACATGTGGGAAGATGATCAACCAGCATCTCAAGGGCTTAAGACAAAGGCAAAATCTGTGCCAAAACCAAAAGCAAGTGCGCCGGCAAAACCGAAAGAGAAGGCGATACCAAAACCGAAAGAGAAAGCGATGCCAAAGCCGAAAGAGAAACCTTTGCCAAGATCGAAAGAGAATTTGGTTCCGAAAACACCACAAACGCCAGCACCTCGTGGTCCGCCACAGAAAGTTGGTACTATCATACAAACGCCTGTTCATCAGTCAATAGCGGATGACGAAACGCCAAGAACAAAGACGCCTAATTGGCGTGTATCTGGACTCGCTCAAGAGGGCAATGAATCTTCCCCGCCGCCAACAGACCCTCGGTTCCGAGTCGCATCTCAAGCTGATACGATTGGATCGGATGACACGCTAGGTGAGGATGAACCGCAAGATACGCAGGCATATCTGTTGGACTCTGAGCTTGCCAGCTTCATTGTTGAAGGAGAGGAAGAAGAGGTAGCTCCAACTTCGAGTCTACCCAGTCTTGACCTTTCTGGCTTTGGAGCAGGAACACAGGCAGTTGTTAAGGCTGGCCGCCCCAAGAGGACCCCAAAAAGACAGAAGATTTTTACAAGCGACGCTACAGACGATGATGCGGTTGTCAGTAGTGATAGCGATGACGATGCACCGCTCGCTAAACTTGTGGCAGGTGCGACCAGGAAGCAATTGGTCGTTGTAGACTCGGCTTCTGAATTAGAGGATGATGAGCCTGTCTTGCTCAGGAAGAGGCCTAGACGGATAATTGATGATGATACAGACGATGAATGAACAAACAGATATGACGGGCACGCGTAGATTTCTGGGTGGAAGTATTGGAGATATACAGAGATCGTGTATAACACCAACTTCTTACCCAACAAAGTAACTAATCCTACTACTGGTACCCCGCCATTTTTTTTGTAAATCTCAGTCGAATTGCTTCCAATACTCTGGTTCGAAGGCGTCCATGTTCTGCGTAAAAGCTTCGCCAGCCTTGACCCACCCTTTGATGCCACCAGCCAATGTCAACGACTTGATTTTGTCATCGCCCTTTTCGGCAATGTAATCTGCGAACCAGCCTGAGCATCTTGGCCCTCTTCCGTTGCATGACCCTAGCGTGTCTCAGCCGACATTGTCTACAAATTTGTGCACACGTATGTATTCGTATTTCAACAGGTGGTATGTGTCTCACGCCACTAGCACCATTCTTTTTCCATCCAAGCATCACGTTGAGACGAAAAAGTGATGGACTCACCGCAGTAAAAAGCAACTCTGGTGACGCCCGCGCGCTTGCACAGATCGTAGAAGACACCCCTGTTCAGGTAAAACGACTGTGCAGGCAGGTTGATGCTTCCTTTTATAGTGCCACCTTCATAGTCGGTGCGTCGCACGTCTACGATGAGGAGATCGGGAGACGAGAGGTCTGACAAGACCTCATCGCGTGATATGGCGGGCGGAGTGATACGGGGGGCGGGGAAGGCGTCGGACCAACTAGCCGTGGGTTGCTGGGCGGTATTGGCCATGGTTTAGAAAGGACGATGGCAGGCGAACTAGAACAACTTGTTATCTCTTACTGTTTTGTGGGTGTGTGGATACGTTTGATGATTGCTGTGTTTCATCCAAGAAGCGGTGGACAAAGAAATAGTCCGTCTTACTTCACGACTTTTTGCCCCGATGGCTACCTTGCATGTGTCCATCCGGGTCCACCGCCACACTCTGCTAAAGTAATAGGCCACATTGCTACAAGCTGCAGTGGCCCCATCAACGTGTGATTAGAAACCACGAGCCAGGGGTATGGGTTTTAATATATTATATACTCGCTCCTGCTGCGTCTGGCTTCTTCCGCTCTTTTGTGGGTTTCGAGCCAAGACTGGTGTCTGGTCGAGAAATTAATCTGCTTCGAGTCTGAAATTCCCAAACAGAGCATAACCCGCACCGCCACAACCAGGATCCTCGCTGGGATCAAATCGCCCTCTTTGATACATACACGCTGGCCTCTTCGCATTCCCCACACGATTCATCGGCCGCTAATTTCCCGGGGGGCCTCATATACTCGGGATACGTTTAATTGTAAGTTTGGCATCTACACACGTCGCAGAGACCGCTCTGTTGCAAACGTTTGCTGACCGGAGGACTAGTAATACGACCGCAATTGCACCACAATGCGCTCAGCGGCGCATGTCTTCTACCTAACAGTCTTTGCGCTGTTGGGTAGTACGCATGCTACAAGCCATGCTGCGCCTTCAAAGGCGCAAAGTCCTCCTCCAAACGTTTGCGACGTAAGCAATCCATCTTCATGTACACCGACTCGAGCCTGGGGCCAGAGTGCTAAACCTACATTCCAGATATCGCCTGGAGCCATAGTATCAGACGCTTGCGCAAGCTACAGCACCCTCGAGCAGCTAAACGACGCCATACAGCCTTACCTCCAGTCCATTACCCAAAACACCGACTTCTTCTCACATTACCGATTAAGCCTGTACAGCAAGAAATGCCCGTTCTGGGACGACGAAAATGGCATGTGCGGGAATGTGGCATGTGCGGTCAATACACTAGACAATGAGGAGGACATACCGCTGGTTTGGCGCGCAAAGGAGCTGGGTAAACTCGAGGGACCGACCGCACAACATCCGGGAAAGAAACAGCAAAGGGAAGAGCCCAAGCGGCCGCTACAGGGAGAACTGGGAGAAGATGTGGATGAGAGTTGTGTGGTGGAGTACGACGACGAATGCGACGAGCGCGACTACTGTATACCAGATGATGAGTCGGCGACTGCGAAGGGCGATTACGTCTCGCTCGTAGACAACCCAGAACGTTTCACCGGATACGCAGGTGTAGGAGCTCAGCAGGTCTGGGAGGCCATATACCGCGAGAACTGCTTTAGCAAGCCCCCGAAGAATGCACCAGCGGCCGGCGGGTCGTCTCCACCCAACTCGCCTTTTGGCGCCTTTGGGAACCAGCAACAGATGCAAGCGGCTAACCAGCTCCGGAACGTCATACAAGAGCAGGGCCAAAAGCAAAAGTTTCAGGCTGCTATTGCTCAAGGATCACCGGTAAACAGCCTTGACCCTATTGAATTCGACGATACCTGTCTGGAGAAGCGCGTCTTCCATCGTGTCATCTCGGGCATGCACGCGTCCATATCTACGCACTTGTGCTGGGACTACCTCGACCAGAAGACTGGTCAGTGGGGACCCAACCTGACGTGCTATGAAGAGCGCCTCCATAACCACCCGGAGCGCATCTCCAATATCTACTTCAACTATGCTCTCGTTATGCGTGCCGTCGGTAAGATCAGGCAGCACATTTCCGACTACTCCTTCTGTTCCGAGGACCCTGATCAAGACCTTCGCACCAAGAACTCTGTCCTTCGTCTTGCCTCGGCGCTCCCCTCTGGTCCCGAGATTTTCGACGAGACAGTCATGTTCCAGGATCCTGACACCGTGGCCCTGAAAGAGGACTTCCGCAACCGATTCAGGAATGTAAGCCGAATCATGGACTGCGTTGGCTGTGACAAGTGCCGTCTTTGGGGTAAGCTCCAGACCAACGGCTACGGAACAGCGCTCAAGGTGCTTTTTGAGTTTGACGAGCATGACTCCTCCAAGGACCCGCCGCTTCGCCGCACCGAGCTCGTCGCCCTCGTCAACACCATGAACCGTCTTTCCCACTCTCTCTCCGCGATCAAAGAGTTCCGCCGTATGATTGACGAGCGAGAAGGCGTGGCCAAGGACGCTGCATCTGCTGTACCCAAGACCGACTCGGGCGTCTTGAAAACCAAGCTCGCGCTCGAAGAAGCCGAGGACACGAAACCCATCAACGTGCTTACCGGCGATGAAGAAATTCCTTCCTTTCAACGCGATTGGGATGCAAGAAACATGTCGGCGTGGGATGAAGTCAAGGCCGAATTTAACCTCGTGAAACGCACCGTTTACTATATATTGTACCAGTGGACCCAGGTTCCAGGCCGATTGTAAGTCGTTTATCCTCTTCACTCGCAGATTTGTATTTCAGGGAAAAAAAAACCGGCATGCTAACGTAAATGGGATTAAATAGTACAAAGATCTTCATCCTTGAGATGCGCCGTGCGTATAACTGGTGGATGGGCTTTGTTCCCGGTCCTAAATCTTGGGAAATTCGTATTCCCACTCGTGATGAGCTTTGAGATCTTTCCGTCTCTCCCCTCTTTTTTTTTGTTCTCCTTACGAAACAATATCTACGTTTGCTGGGGTTGTGGAATTCGTAGAAAGTCCATCTTTTTTTTTGCATAGCTCAGGCGTTGTTTTTTTGGTCTTTCTGATGGATTTAAATCATAACAATCACTTCTTTCCACACTTCAGGTTCCGGAAATCCGGGTGGTTGTTGTTGTTGTTGTTGTTGTTGTTACGGCATTTGGGGATTGAAGAGTTTTTTTTTTAGATTCGATATCCGTACATGACCATTCATTCCATGAAAGAACAGTATCATCACCCTCTCTCTTCCTTTTACTCCTCAAGTGTCATGTGCAAATATCCACTCTCGGCCCAACCACACACGCACACACACCTGACCGCCCTCATCGGCCCGTATCCTTCACAATACATACGTCATGACCACCCCCCCTTCCCCTCCCCCCTTCTTCTATCTCACCCTCTCTTTCGGACTCGTGCCAGGACCCATCACTACAAGGGTCCCTCCGACAAGAAAAAAGTCAAGACGGCAAAAACCCTCCACTTTGACCGTCGTGCGCTCACGACACACGCTCCGCGCGCTTCCTATTCGTGAAGCGTGGCAGATAAGCTTTGCTCCAAGAAGACACAAGACATGCGCCTATTTTCGATGGGTTACTGGATTTGGTAGGTTTTCGGGGGGTTTTTCTTTGTCTGGGTTGGGATGGTCGGTCTTGGGGTGGGTGAGTGCGGGTGTGTTTTGGTGTTTTGGGTAGGTGGGTATTCGGGGGGGGGGGGGAAAGGTTTGGCGGATTGAGGGTTTGGGGGTGTTGGAGTGTTTTGACTGTTATTTTTTATTTTATTTATTTTGTTTTGTAATTCCAAGTATTTCTATGTAGAGGGGTTGCGTGTGGGTGGTGGTTGTGGTGGTGGAAAAAAGTGAAGGTGTAGGTTGTATGGCACGTGTTGGAGCATGTGCGCCTACTAACCTTGCATATCCAACGTAGTAGTACTAACTACAAATGCGCATGTGGAAGTAACCACCACCCTGCGTAAATCTACTACATCTCGGAACTACGCACTCACAACTCGCATTCCACGGTATCAACAATGAGATGACTACAGCATCATTCCTCGGCATAAGAGGAGGCGGCAAAAAAAACTTTTGCCGGCCTTTGTCGGGATGAGGGGAAGGTAGAGCGGCAGCGGGAGCGGGCAGTTGTGATCGGGGAGTGGAGAGAGGAAGAGGGGAGGGGGAGGGGGTGGCCATGTTTTGAATGAGGAGAAGCTACACGCCTATTTTCGATGCCTACTCAATCCAGTATAATCACCAAGCCTTGTCTTTCGTATTTTGCTCTACTTTTACTCTTCGTGGTTAAACATATAGCAAAGCTTGGTATTCGGCATCTTTGGTGTTTTGCCTTCTTAAGATTGAATTTTTTTTTCGTGATACGTGCGTCATTTTTGTTCTTCCGTTGGCCCTCCACTTTGCAGAAAGCCAAGGCTTCCCGAAGATGTAACTGCAACCGTGCTTTTCCTTCTTCTTCTACTCGGTCCTTTGGTATTAGTTTTTTCAATTTCTTTTTTCAGAGATTGGGTGGAATGGGTTAATTTAGGGCTGGAAGTGCTGGCCGAAAATATGCAAGATAAAGCGAAGGAATACGCCTACTTTTCATGGCTGCCGTTCTGGGTAAGCCAAGGTGTACACCGTGCTTTTGTTTTTGGGCGGCGCGAGTTGACGTGTATCACCCGCGTGAGACGTGGCTGCTGCAATGGATGTTTTGCGGTGTATGCTGGAGACGGTGCTGATTCCGTGGCTTTTTTTTTTGGAACGATTTCCTGCAGACGACATACCTACGTACATGCAAATTTACGTAGTATTGCAGCGTTTGTAATGTTCCATGTATAATATACGTACGTATGTAGTATACACGACGTTTGCACATGCCAGATGCGCTCAAAAATCTCCGACAAAGTCCAGAATCCCTCCCGCGAGTCAAGTCGGAGAATTTGATAACCTTGTCCCGACCAATGTCCAACGTCACATATGCCATGTCATGGTGCAGCAAAAAAGCAACATGATCGTCACAACATAGATACCGATCGTCATAGGCTCCGCTAGCATGACTACGCAGCGAAAAGAGGCTCTGTACGCCTATTTTCCACACCTGCCTGACGCAGTAAACTACTCACAAAAGAAAAAAACGCTTTGTCCGCTTCTTGGTGTTTGGTGAGAAGCCAAGTCTGACAAGCCATGAGCCTCTTTTCCACACCTACTCCTTTGGGTAAAAACACCAGACCTTTGACGATAGTCGGTGATTTTCTCGTTGTTTCGTCATACACACCGTGCACGCCCGTACACGAGACTATTTCCCACGAAACCGCCTTGTTAATCTTTGAGAGCAGAAGACAAACACACAAAGGGAAAGAAAACACGAGCCTCAAGACGGAATTTTAATCTCCTTTCCAATTTCCCTCCTAGAAAAACTCTATTCCCGTCACGCGGTAAAATTGGAAAAGCACACAGCAAATAATATGTTTCCCTTCCATATAACGTGTCCTTGATGCCTCCTAAAAACGAAACCATAAGAAAAGACAAGCTTTCCTTTGTAACTACCAAGCACGCGCCCTATATTCCACGACTTTCTCTAAAAGGAAATTTCTACAAGGCCAAGATGAGCGCCTACAATCCACAGTTACTCGTTGCAGCAAAAAACCACCGTGCCCTTCCCCCTTCCCCCCTGTGCCTTCGTTTCTCATCATATGTACGAGACGGTCCGCGTGTCAAACTATCTTGAACTTAAAATTCTTTCCCTTGGGTTTGTCCCGTGTTCTTCGTCCGAAACTGAAAATAGGCTGTTTTACGGGAACAAATGGGAAAGTTGCCGAAAAAGCTGAGTTTGATTACTATACTAGTTAAGTTAAACTAACTACCGATGTGTGTGTGTGTGTGACTGGGAATCTTGGTATTCCCGTGGTATGTCCGAAGGGGAGGGGGGCATGCACGCGCGCGCACACGGCGTGTGCAACATCTGCACACCCTGTTTTTTTTTATTTGCTTGCAAACCCCCGCCCGATTACAGTTTGAGGGGGGTGGCCCGGTGTGAGCGGGGTGGGAAAGAGACTTAATATAACCATTTCACGCCTGTTTTCTACACTTGCTGTATGCGGTAAGATGGGGGGTGAAGGTGGATCGGCAGGTGGTATGCGAACTTAGGGGTTTTTCTGGGGTGGAGACAGCTGGATGACGTAGGGGGAGTCCCCGCGGGTGCGTTCGTGAGCGGTGGTGGTGCTGGTGGTGCTAAAAGGGGGAGATGACGCAGATGGGGCACGAAGGCGTGCCGCTATAGGCGTCGTTCGTGCATATTGCCTACTCGGGATGGCGTGCAAGGCGCATGGGCTGAGGGATGGTGCTATTAGGATACGGTACGGGTCTCACATACTATGTACAACATGCATCTATATCTTCCTCTGCTCTGCTCATCTTTTGTATCTGGAAGCCTTTCCATTCATCCAGGACACGCGTTGCCAGAGTACCATCACGTTTTATTTGGGAGGAGGAGGGGTAAACCATGCGCCTCCCTTACCGTCGTTGAAGTATTTCGAGCCCTGATCTTACATCAGTATACGTCCACACTGCCCTTCTTCCTAGACCTACGTCGGCGTTGCTGTAGTAATATGAGCCGTCCCTGTTGGAGTAGTGATAAGGGTTCGAGTTCACGTCGTCCGGGCCAGCTTCACGAGTGCACCAGTGGTTTCCCTGAACAACATTGTCAGCACCATGTTGGGTATTCCGAGCGGTCCGGAGACTTGCTTCATTGTTGATGCCGTGGTTGGTCACGTTAGAGCTCGTTCTACCAGAAGAGCCGCAGCCAGAGCTTGATGAAGTCTTCTGCGATGACATGATGAATGGTGGTGTACTTAGTCTTGTCTCTTGAAAGTCACTTTGGAAATATGAGTTGTGGAGCTGGTCTGGAGTAAGCAGAGAGAGATGAGGGGAACGACATGCCTTGGCAGTATAAATACTGTCTTGGTTTGCACAAATACGGCTGCCATGACAGGGTGGCCCTTGCTTTATTCCGCTTCGTGAGATTCGCCTCGTGGATCGCTGCTGCTTCACGAGATTCAGCGAGAGCAGAGGTCAGGTTGCACTCGAGAGGTTGTCGCAAGAAATTGGGAGTGTTGAGTTTTGAGCTACATGTCCAACCGAAGAAGCGACTGGAATAGGCAGAGACTTGCCAGATGGGAATGTCGCAGTTACCGATGTTTGGAGTGGAACACCATCGCAAAATTGTCTATTTCAAGATAGTTATGGGAAACACAAGCTATCTCGACACTCTGAATCTACGCCCAATGAACGACCCTATCGCACTTCCTTTCCCTATTGTCTCCGTTGTTGTATGAATCGGATGGCTTCCCCAGATGGTACACCTGGTGTCTGCAGAAACTGTTAGAGATGCTGGGGCCGTTTTGCATGTGTAATGTGTTGGCTTACAAGGTGTCCTGTCTTATCCTAGTAGCAAGCTCTCCCAGTCAGGGACAGTGACTAGTATTCATCTTTTTCGTCGCTTGCCAGATTGCTTCCGCGACCGTTTTGTATTGAACGTCAAGCTGGTAGATGCGGATGGTAGCATGTCAGTCGTAACAAGTGAGGGCATATTATCGACGTAGAGGTCTTGAATTCGGCCATATTCCTGACGCTCTTCACTTCCACGAATATTCATCAAGATACTGATGGTAATGAGAAATGTCATGAAGAGGACGGTGCTGGTGAAGTTGATCAAGGCAATGACAATCCAGAAACAGATGACGACGAGGAACATCAGGAAGAAAAGGATGCTGCAGACACTAACGCTGATCAAGGCCAGTAGCCAATCGATGATCATTGAGTAGCTATCAGCCATGGCGACTGTGTAATCCGACATGGTTGATAGGAAGGGCTTTGCAACTATGAGAAGAACTGACAAATAGTAGAGAAAATGGAGCTGCAAATTCTTAATGGTGTTGGCTTATTTTTTTTGGTTACGCGAGCTGAAAGAAGTAGAAGTAGTGAAAGTGAATCAACCTCTAGTGTGTGATTGATTCTAGACGCGACGCGTAGGGTTACTATATCGTATACTTTCGTGTCAACAAGATGGATGCGAACACTCTTGCATGAAATTTGGGAAACCACAAAAGCGAACCGGTGTTTTTTCATAATCGTTTGCATTGAAGTCATGTAGTTTCGACCGCAACTACCATGATAGATCAGACCAACTTGGACGGTCCATTTTCCTTCGTAATCCATTACTCGACCGTGAATGTCCATTGCCTCATTGCCCCATTTGTTCAAACTCCGTATAATAGCAAGAGAATATTTTTATTGACCTGTGTGCTATCGCTTGATTATACTGTGCCGGTACCCAAAGCCATCAGCTGTGTCATGTTGCAAATAGCCATATGCGATTCACAGGCTGCGTCGGTGAAGAAAAGCACTTGGTGGCGTCAGTAAATGAGCAGTTGAAGGGATTGATGTTTGGCTTACCTTGATGTTTTCGGACGCTTTTAGGCCTCAGCGATAATTTCCTCGTCAGATCCGATAGCATCAATGTCTGCAGAGTCCTCAGCCTCGTCAGACTCGGACTTGACAACTACATGGAATCAGCATTGCAAGAGTTGCATGGCATGTCTCAACAAGTACTCACCTTCTTCTTCTTTAATAGCTGCCTTGCCACGAGCAGGCTTCTTCTTGGGGGAAGAGTCACCATCGACATCCTGCTTCTTAGAAGCACGCTTGCGAGGCGTTGCCTTAGGAATGGCATCTCCATCTGCTTCGTCGCCCTCGTTCTTAGGAGCAACAGCCTTCTTAGCGCGAGGAGTCTTCTTTGGAGTAGGTGGAACAGTGCCGTCGGCAGCAGGAGTTATCAACTTGACTTTGATCTTGGCCCAGGCGTTGCTGGCAGAGCGCGGGTTGCTCATGCCAGCAAAGGCAGCAAGCTTATCGTAGTCGATCTTTTCATGGGAGTCAGCATGGTGCAGGGACAAGGCAAGCAAAAGGTATGTCTTGAAATAACATCGCAATCACCTACCTCTGGAGGACCAGACTTGAGTGACTGCATAGCCCAACCCAGGAGTTGAAGCTCACGCTCGGTGAACTGGGGAGCAGAGCCATTGGCAGCAGTGGTCTTGTCGGTGTCAGACATGTTGTTGATGTTGAAGCTGAGTGATGTTTTGAAATTGTTCGTGTGAGATGGGAGGAGTGGAGAAGTGCAGAGGTGCAGAGGTGCAGGTGGACAGTATATATGTCTGATGAGTCCCACTAGTGTGGTGATGTCGTTGACAGGCAGTGAAGGTGAGTGCACTGTGGTGCCGTAGGAGGGCTATATTTGCTCACCAACATACAAACTCATCTCTATGCTCACGGTGAGAGGTTCATCAATGCCGCACACAGTTGCTTGTGTGACGATAGGCGCACTGGCATGTAAAGTTTGTAGGCGGAGTGAAAGTGAGATGCCATCGTTTGCATCCGTATTTTTCACGCAAGCAAGGTGGCGGAAGGGATTCACGCATATTTATTGTTGCAAATTACTGCAATTTGTCCCAAAGAAGCGTCGTATAGTGTATTTCAAAACGAATGTCCTAGGCTGCTCATTCTGAATGTTATCGGTGTGGGAAGCAAACCGCCAGCATGCTATTGGATTGTAGAGAAAGTGACAGAGAGGAACTACCCAGGTTTCGCGCGATGATTACTTGTGGCATGGTGTTTAGCGGCACTTTTCTTTCTTGCATAACAGCCTCTGTTTTCTGGTGGATGGTGAAGGGCGCGATTGCCGCGTGGTGAAGTGAATAAATCGCAGTTGCTACCAAAGTTACGGATGATGCTGGAAACATCGAATACAAATACTAATACTCGTTCCAACACTATCCAAATTCGCAAATATCAAAATCGAAGCAGAGGTGAGGTGGTCAACCAGAAGTCGTGACCATGAGCTACCCCGGCGGGGATGCCCATGACTCGCGCGAGCAGCGCCCAATCCAAGCGGCAGAATCGCCGGGGCTCGAGACATACGAGGGTGCTGGCACTCGTCGACAATACTCAAGCAACCCGCCCTTGACCTCGCCCGCCTTCTTCCTGGCCAAGCATAGAAAAATGGCGGATCCCATTGATAGTGCTCTGTAGGCCATTATTTGCTTTGCACGCGCGCCTGATTTGCTCTTCTAGCTAACACAGCTGCAGCGACCTCCTCCGCCGGCTGGACCCCAAGGACGTTAAGCGCAATGTCGACCACATTATCCAGCTCAATCCCTCACTCGAAGAGGACCTGCTCGAGTCGGTCGACATTCCCCTGACTGTCAAGAAGTGCTCAAAGACGAAGCGCGACTTTCTGTGCTGCGACTACAACCGCGACGGTGACAGCTGGCGCAGTCCGTGGAGCAACGAGTTCGAGCCGCCCATTGACGAGGGTGTCACGCCTAGTGATCGTGTCCGTAAGATGGAGGTCAAGGCAAACGAGGCTTTTGACGTCTACAGAGAATTGTGAGTTGCATGCGGGGGGTGGGGACGTGGCCATGGCGGGGTCGTGGTAACTGACGCGGGCAGGTACTTTGAGGGCGGGATATCCAGTGTTTATCTGTGGGATATGGATGATGGCTTCGCTGGCTGTGTGCTGCTGAAAAAGTGTATGCATGCCGCCTTGGATCCGCGTTGCTGAGTAGACACTGACAGACAGACAACAGCCGTCAGCCCCACCCCGAAGAGCTCCGGCAGCTGGGACAGCATCCACGTCTTCGACGCCCAAGATCGCGCCCGAACATCACACTACAAGCTCACATCGACCGTCATCCTCTCCCTCGGCACCGACAGCGAAGCACTCGGTGGACTCGACCTCTCCGGCAACATGGTACGCCAGGTTGAAGCGGACATGGCCGTTGAGGATGACACCTCGCACGTCGCCAACATCGGCAAGATGGTCGAAGACATGGAGCTCAAGATGCGCAATCTGCTGCAAGAGGTCTACTTTGGCAAGGCCAAGGACGTTGTTGGAGACCTACGGAGTCTCCAGTCGCTCAGCCAGGCCAACAAGGACCGCGCCACCCAGAGGGAGATGATTAACAGCATGGGCAGGTAGGCATGGGAAGGTGTATGGTGACGACAAGGTGGACAGGTGCTACATGTCATAGATGGAATTGAATGAATACCAGCTTGAGGGGAACATGAGGGGTCGAGTCCTGTGACCCAGATGAAAAGTCTCTCCAAACGTTGTTCTGCTTCTCTTCACTTTACTTGTGAGCAAGTGTTGACCGTTATTTGCATTGGTCCGCGGACATCCAGTCTGATTTAGAACCGACCGGTGAAGTTTTCTCGGACGCTGGCGAAAGATTAAAGACGTGAGTATTCCCGAGTCAATAGCCGACTACATCGTGACATTCAGCTGAACGTACGATATGTGCAGTTCGACCTGAGCGGCCGCATCTTTGGGCCTCGCTAATCTCTCGCTGTGGCCACTCCGAGAATCCTCCGCTGCGCCGCAATGCCACACCAACGCCAATATATTACAAGTCACTGGTTCCAATATTCCAAGACATGTACAGTGAACTAAACAAAGCCACCGGCAGCGTGCTGCATGCGAGGCTCCATCTAGACACTGGCGGTCATTGGACTATCACTCCACAAAGTACTCAGTACACCACCACACTTCACTAGGACGTACAGCAAACAACTAAGCGAAAGCTGTTCTAGACACCATGTACCTTCCTCTTACAGGAGATCCAATAGTAGCTACCATCCTTCGGTAACACCAACGCATCTCATGGTACGCAAACCGGTCACCGGCCCGTTCGGAAGCATCATCCATGAGGTCGAAATGGGCAAGGGATAGATCAGGTAACCATGCTCGAAACTATATATTTGAATGGAATATAGTCATCTAGCCTCAAAAAAGTATCTCAAGATGGTGTTTCTAAACGGTACCTTGCTCTTAGGGCTCATATCTTGTTGTCTGGCGGTACCCCACCGCAACGTCGGCAGAGCCACTACATCCCTCATCCCAACTTCCTCGCTGTCCGCACCAACTGGAACACCAACAAAAGCCCCCAAAATCGATCAAAAGAGATACTCCAATCATGTCAATGACTTCTACAAGCTCTACGGCTGGCTCAAGCCAGGCACTTCAGTGCCAGACAGTGATCTTCCGGAGGCCATTCGTAAGATTCAGGCAAAGCTAAAGGAGCCCGTGACTGGGGAATTTAGTGAAAAGATGTTGGCTATGATGGAAGGACCTCGCTGTGGAACTGAACAGCAGTATGTTGGTACCGGGACTGGGGAAGGTCAGGAGTCCAAGGAACGATATGCGCTTTGGGGTCCGAAGTGGGCTAAGACGACATTGACTTGGCGCATCGACAGGTATACAAACGATCTGTCGCAGGAGCGACAGCTGAGTACCATAGGGTCAGTATGAAGCCCATCCATAAGTTTTACGGATGCTAACATCTCCCAGCTCGGCCTTTGCTCAATGGATGAACTCTGCCCCGCTCAACATTGTCCAAGCAGCTTCAAATGTAAAGGCCGACATAAATATTCGTTTCCTGCCCATCAACAGCAACAGAACTGTTGCTGTCACAATGATAGACTCAGATGGTGTATATTTTACTCCGGGTAAAATCAACATCACTTTCAATGACAACGAACAGTGGACAGACGACATTCTCTTCTCCACTACAGCTGTACACGAAATAGGCCATGCCCTCGGACTAAGCCACAGCACCGTCCCATCAGCCATCATGTTCGCCTACTATGACGGTCTTATGCACCCAATCCATCCCGACGACAAGATGGGCATCCACAGCATCTACGGCTGGAAAACGCCCAAATGGAAGCTTATAGACTCTGGCTCAAAAATCAGCAGCATAATCCAAGTCACTTCCAGCTCCAGCACGCCCGCTCCCAACGACGGCCTATACCAGATGCGTCCGACAGGCCAGATCCTCCGCTACATCAACAACGCCTGGATAACCATCGACAACTACAAAGAAACCGCCCAAATCACAGGCGCAAACGGCCTCCTCTACCAACGCCACTACGACGGCGGAACCTTTCGCTGGACTGGCACACCATCGAACTGGCAATCCATCAGCCCCACCGACACATCCATCCTCGACATCCACGCCGCCTCGGACCAACTCTACGCCCGACGCAAAGACGGCTCCGTAGTCCGCCTCTCGGGCTCCACTTGGCTCACAATCGACCAATCCTCACCGGGCTCCCGTCAAATCGCCGTCTCCGACGACAAAACCCTCTGGAACCTGCTATCAAACGGTGACCTAGTACGCTCGCGCTGGCCCTACACCTCCGCCGCCATCCTCGATCGCAACGCCGCAAACACGGGGATCGCGGTTGGCGGCAACGAGTTCTTCAAAGTCCAGAGCGATGGTGCGGTGGTGTGGCTTGATACCAAGGGCCCTTACTGGAGCGTTATTGAGCAGAAGGCGAGTGTGGGGATTCATGCCGTGGGCGAGTTGTTGTATAGTCGTCATGCGGATGGGACACTTTGGCGGTGGACGGGAATCCCGGGGGTGTGGGAGGGGATTGATGAGAGGGGTGGGGTTGAGGATGTTACGGGGGATCGGGCGGGAGGGGTTTGGGGGGTGCTGGGGGGGAGTGAGGTGTGGATGCATGTTTCGTGATGGGGGAGGTGTGGGTATGAGTTATGAGGTTGTGAAATTACTGTGTGAAATCATGAATTTATGAAGAGGTATGTTTGTTTTGAGGAATACGGAGTTCTGGGCAGGGTTGATAGTATATATATATCCTGTACATACTTTTAGAGTCTTGTTTTTTCGGGAAAAGGTGAGGACACTTTCTCCGATATCTCTATGGATTCTTGTGAGATCGTCTTTAGTATCGTGCTAATAGGATTTAAGAGCATAAGCCCCTGATACTGACTTAGATTTTCTTTAGTTTTGGGTGGATCAATGGATATGGGAAGTAACTCGGTCAGTTTAAAGGCGGAGGGGTATTTTCTTCTTCTTTCCTTGAGACACTTGACCAACGAGTTTTAAGCATAGTTACTATATAAGACTTTTCCCATCTTGGAGATATGTCGCTAGAAAGATTGGTTTCTTAGGTTGGCATCAACTGCGCCAGCAGCTTACCTTGCTGTAGCTAATAAGCGGATTATATTGGAGATTGAGCGCTTACATGTGCGTGACATTGAGTTGAACTAGTGAGTTTATATCTCAAATACTAGGACCATTCCTTGTTTCTTGTATGCCCTTGGTATCCTCGAGGCCCTGAAAAGCATACAAAGTGATGAATCAAAGCTATAAGCAGTGTAGGCGGAGGATTAAGTTACAATAAGTAACCCCAATCTGTTACTTGTCAGTAGTACGCTTTGCAGGAGTTCCTCTCCTATTGCCATATGCACGAAAACCAAAGAATAAGGTAGTTGAATCCAGAACTCGGAAAACACTTTCAATAACAAGACTCAATGGTTTGTTGCAAATGATTGGTTCGTATTTATTGCGCTATGCGCTCAGGCCCCCGGAGATACAGATTAGGTTTAACTCCGAGCTAACTCCCCCAAGCCTGGCTGCACCTCGAACGCGACACATGATTCCACTGTACTTCCCACTCCGCTTTTCTTGGCCCTCTTATCAATCAGAGACCCTTGGATCCCATGTTCAAATACTCGGCTTACCTGCAACTATGGTAACCTTGACTATACCAGCCTCGGTTGCGAAGCGAAAGCAAGCATGCACCAGCTGTCGACAGCGGAAGAAGAAATGCGACGTACGTGTAATGATGTACTGATTTGAACTCGGTCCCCCTCTCTAACAGTGGTATGCAATATAGGCCGAGCATCCGAGCTGTTCTTTGTGTAGAAAACTAAATATTAGATGCCAGTACGGGGCACCGTCACACCAAGACAGCAGTTTACTTTCTGCAGCCTACCCAGAGAGTTCTCTTAGTCCAGACCCAGTTGCTTTACCTTCTGGTTTTGATATGGAGCCGCCTGGTCTGCTGCCGTCCATGCAACTCACAGGCACAATCCTCGATCTTCCATCCTCCGCCCCTTTAGCATATGCAGATCCACTAGTGTGCTTCCCAATACCTGAATCCACGGACATTCAAACCGATGATATGTTTAGTTTCCAGGCGCTTGATAGCTTCCAGCCGCCTTCACACGATATCATCATCCAGCTTACCAAACTCTTCTTCGAACATCTTTACCCTATGTTTCCCTGCTTTCACAAGAAGAGCTTCCTGTCTAGTGTGGAAAGCGGCAAGCTACAGGATGAATCACCAACCTTGGTTTACGCAATCTGCTGTATAGCAGCCAGATTCCATCCTGACAATGCGATAAAAAAGCGTTCCAAAGACTGGTACGAGCAAGCAAAGTTCTCCTATAACCTCACCTGCCAAAAGCCCGAACCAACTCTACGCACCACCCAGTCTGTAATACTCCTTATGTTCCATGCCTGGACTGCATGCGACTTTTCTTCCAGCTGGTTGTTCCTAGGAAAAGCATGGCGACAGGCTGTTGTTCTTGGTCTGAATGTAGAGGCGGATCATCTGAAAACACGTCGGCCCAATATGCATGAAGAGAGGACGTCAGTCGCTAAAGAAGAGCTTCGGCGAGCTTTATGGCTGCTTTTCATGTTGGATCGAATAAACTCTTGGGCGACGGGCTGGCAGACCGCTATACCCGAGACGCAGTTCAAAGTCGACTTGTTGAAACCTGAATCGGTCTTTCAAGCCATGGATCCAGAATCGGATACGCTTCATCATTCCAATACGCCATTTACGCGGAACCTTTCTGATCTGATATGTTCATCGTCGTCCGCAAAAGAGCCTCTCAATGTGCTACACTACCTAGCAATTGCGCATGTCCTGCTCGGCCGAGTATCTGAGTTGATACATTCCCTACACAGCGCGCCCGACTCCCCCGAGTATGCAGAAGAATGCGCCAAGCTGGACAGCCTGATTATTAAATTCCGACTCAGCCTGCCCCGTCGAGCGAGTTCAGTACTAACAGCACCGCCAGCAGATCGTCAGCAGGTGGTATGGCTGCTAATTACCTTGAATGCTATGACTTTGATACTGCATTATAGCTGTGAGGCACAGGTTTCGATTTCGAGTCCATCTTCCCCGTTCAGCCTTGCTGTCATTGCGGCTCGGAACGTCGCACAGGTAGTCAAAGATGCATCGCGCATTTCGGTTGATCTACTACTCTCCCCGTATATAGGGTCATCTTTGTACGTTTCGGCATGCGTGCTTGTTATTCAGTGGCGCCAAAGCGGCGATCAAAGTGTCAAAGACGAAATCGACCTGATTACTTTAGTATTCGAGCACATGCATGAAGACGAGAGCTTTCTCGGCCGAAAGCTTAAATCTGCGGTCGAAAACGACATGAAGAAGAGTCAAGAGGAACTACGAAACTTACAAAAGCGAGGTTTCAGAGGCCTGGTGGCAGACTGTAAAGTATCAGATCGTGTCAGGCAGGAAGTACAATACAGGGGACTGGAAATCAGCATAGATTAAGTTGTTCTATGTCTTACATGTCACTAGTTACAGCAAAGGAAATCATGACGTGGAACCAACAAGATAACGCCCACCATCGCTGTTTACCTCCGCCCCATTGGCGAACCTATCCTTCATGATCCATCCGTAGGCCTCAGCAATATCTTCTGGTCGACCAATCTCCCCCGGCAGACTTAAACCCTTCTTCATCTTCTCAATCGCCTCGGCTGGAAGCCCATCCATAATTTTCTGAAGCATCTCCGTATGTATGGCACCAGGGTTTACGAGGTTGACGCGAATCGGAACCATGTCTACCGCAAGACCTCGTGTTAGGCCCTCGAGGGAACCACCCACGGCTGCCATCACAGCCCAATCTTGCATTGGGCGTTTCGTGTTTGAGCCGGCGGTCAGGGTGATGGAGCTGTTGGAGGATTTGGGCATGTAGTCGCCGTTGACAATGAGTTTCGCCAGGGCGCATGGAGCAAGAAAGCGGACGGTAAAAGCATCGAGCACAGTACTGATGTCTAGTTCGGCAGTCTTGGCTATACGAAGAGAGTCTCCGGATGTGAAAGCAATATGGTCGATTTTCTTGCTCCCATTTTCCGTTGCTTTGTCTAGTACTGCGCCAATGTTCCTTTCGAGGTTCGCCTTGTCGGTCAGGTCGGCGGCAAAGCCTGCTACGTTGGTAGCGGGCATGTTCGGATACAGAGACCGCAGATGATCGACTTTGGTGTCGACCTTGGGCTGGCTGGAGCCTGAAATGGTGACTTTAGCGCCGTAGGAGAGGGCCATGCTAGCAATGGCAAAGCCGATGCCTGATGTTCCTCCGAAGACGAGGACGTGCGCGTTTGCAAGGCGGTTTTGGTGGGCCATTTTAGAGATGTTTTGATGAAGAGTGGTATGGAGATTGATTATGGAGTGTAAAGAACGTTGTGATGATGTCTACATAGAACATATCTACATTCATGGCTCCTTATAACTCTATTCCCTTTGCCAAGTTCACTGAGCACAGTTATCATACTGAGTATAGTGAAGCCGACAATTGATCCACGCCGGCCTTGCCGAGCCCGCTTGTCCGCTCTTCTCCGATAACTGCGAGCTCGATTATGTTATACAACATATTGAGGCGTTGATGCGTGGTTGTGGAATGCTCCCGAATGCGGGCAGGCGGGCAGGCGGGCAGGCGGGCAGGCGGGCAGGCGGCGACGCTACTGCACGAGCGGTACAGCTGGGCGTTTAGACCACATGTGCACCGCTCCGGGTAGGGGAGTGACCGCACCTCTCAAGTATTATCTTTAGACCCTAGCAAATACTGCTACGGCGAATAAATGCGAAGACAATATCGTCTTATTTTCCAAAATCTCATATTCCGAGCACAATCATCTCTCTTAATGCACACTTTGCTGCAACATTTCTGAATAAGGGAGACTTTGTGGTAACATGGGCATTTCTCTAGATACACACTTGACTGGAATGTTCCTGGACAAAGAAGAATTTGAGGCAACGCAGGTGCTTGATATCTCAGGCCTCCAATTACCTAGGCAGCCCAATATCCAGGCCGCCGCCACATAGCCAAGCTGAGGTAGGACCATCGATGGAGCTCCGCCTACTGTGGTTGCCGGTGAAAGTTTTGTATGCGAAGAGGCTAAAAATAATGGCTGAGGCCGTGGCAGATACCGCCGTCTTTCAGCCCCAAAAGAACATACAGGGGGTCTCAATCAGGTGCAACAGGTGGAATTTGCAGTCAGCTCAGAGTGAACTTGTTCTAGGTTATTAGTGTCTAACCATTAAAAGCAACCAGGCTTTTCCAATACTGTCTCTCTCATATCATGCTTACCCGAGCTGAGTGTCTATGAATCGGTTCAAAAACACCCGACCAGAATATTTGATAGCGTATAGTTTAGTAGTAGAAAATCGCATGAATTCGTAGTGAAAACGTAGTAGTAGAGCCTTTGAGTAGCTATCGAATGATATGGTGTAGGAAGGCCGTTTTTGGTATAGAGAACTGATTAATTCGGCACCTAGTACCTTGATTTGGCCCCCGATGTGTTCCTTGGGAGGTGAAAACAGGCAGCAGGTGATTTCAATCATGGCGCTCAATTCATTGTCACCTTCCAATGAGCCGAAGGTAGGTCAATTTCAGCACAGTTGATTAGGCCAGCTGATGTCTTAGCCACGTAAAAGCTAGATTGTGATTGTGGTGGCGAATCAACCAACACAAACCCACATGGCGAATTCCTTCTTCTCCTCCCTCTCTCCACTCTCAAACAACACAAAAGCTCTCGTTTCACAAGCCGCTGCGAACGGCCCGTCTGCATCACTTCCACAAAACGTGCCCGCTGAAGTCGCCCGGGGTTATGCAGCCCAGTTTGCCGCTCTTAACAAGAAGATGGTATCCACGGATGCCGCTATGATGGAGATAACCTGGGTGGATGGAAGCGTAGAATCCATCCTACAGCACCCCTTCTCACGCGGACAGGTTATAGCGCCATCGTCGAGTGCATTCGATTACCCCATCGCCGACCCCGGTGTCTACCGAAACAACATCGACAGAGCAATTATGCATGAGAGCGTCTCTTTTACCCGAAAGATCATGGCTACAGCGAGCATGGGCGGACTCAAGCCAACTGAAGCCGTTCCCGGTGCATCTGCCGATGTCGACGCTTGGATCCGCAGTACCACAATATGCATCTACCACCCCGCGGGCACAGCCAAGATTGGACCCAGGGAGGACGGCGGCGTTATTGATGAGAATCTCAAGGTCTATGGTGTTCAGGGCTTGAGGGTTGTGGACGCAAGCGTCATGCCTATGGTGCCGGCTGCCCACATCATGGCTACCGTCTATGCTGTAGCTGAAAGGGCTGCTGATATAATCAAGGGCGGCAAGTAGACGAGAGGTGTTCAAGGTACTCTGGATCGAGGTCCTTGGAAGGCCAACACCCTCGGGCCACAGTCACATATGTTGGAGTATATATAGTCCCCATCTGAACCTTGGGTCACTCTTTAAGTATTTATCTCAATTCACTTTCACTAATGTATTTCGTGCCTTATCTGTAGAAGGTTTTACACTTTGAAGAATCCCGAAATAACCTTGCGTAGCAGGTTACATGACGTCGGCAGTTGAGTTTACCAGCAGTTGAACTTACAGACAACCACTACAGCCAGCTAGCCAATCAGCAACTAGCGTCTATCACAGCAATACTCAACACCAACGATGCTACAATGGCCGATTTGAGCCTAGCAATATGGGGAAAAGTCCATCACACTTCTCCGGATGCTGATATGAAGACGACTTTGGTAGGCGAAAGAGAAAGTCATTCAAGAAAAACCAACAATAATAAACATTTTGATATACACGTCTCCTAGAGAGACCACTTCACTACAGTTCTCCAAACACATAAATTAAAGCTCGTTGTGCTCAGGCGCATCATCCTCAACCTCCTCAACTTGAATTTTAACCTGCTCGTGGACTTCCTCCTTAACCTTCTTAGGCTTTGGCTTCTCACCCGGTACCAGGAGCGAGTCCGACAGCTTCTCCTTCTTGCCCTCTCCCATGCGAATAGCATCTACCCATTGCTCGACCTCCTGAAGTCCAAAGGAGGTACCAGAGTACTTCTTGTACCACGCGCGCTTGCCGTTAGTGGCAATGAGGTGGACCTGATCTGCGCTTCCGAGACTCAGCTCCGCAATCAAGGTAGCGGCTAGAGGATTGGTCGAGGCAACGCTGACAAAGGGGAAGAGATGGCTTCCGGCGACATCGTATTTCTTGTGAATAGAAGCGAGTGAAGCGACAGCGGTAGTGGCGGTTTCCGAGGTTTCATCCTTGGGCAAAAGTGCCAGGATACATGTTTTGCTTTGGTCGGTCAAGCACAGGGATTGGAGCTCGGCGGATTCAACGATCAAGGGAATCGTTGGCTTGAGTTCTTCCTCGGGAAGAACAACTGGGTTTGGAGTGTCCTCGTCCTTGATGTTTGGATCGGGCGATTCCGTAGATTGCTCCACGGTCTCTTCTGTCGCTGATGTGGCAGCCGAAGAAGCTTCAGCATCCTTGTGCGCAGCCGAAGCCTTGGAGAATTTGCTCGAGGCCTTGGAATCCTTCTTGCTATCCTTTTTGCCTTTTGCCTTCTTCTCTTTGGGAGGCGGGCAATCGGGGTTTGGCGGGGCGACTTGAGACAGGAACTTGACCATGGCCGCCTTGTCGGCCTTGCCCTCATGTTTGATAGGCGTGTCTGAGCCGGCGGGAATGAGAATGAGTGTGGGATACTCGGTGATGCCGTACTTTTCAACAGCTGCCTTCTCCGTCTTCTTAATCTGAGCAACTGAGACGATGCCAGCAAAGTCAATTGCTAGTGCCCTGAGTGTGGCGCTGACAACTCCCTTTTCGCTGAACAGAATAGCCTTGGCATTGTCCTTGTTCTCCTGTAGCCATTCGTCCAGGTTCTTGTCATTTACCCTCTTGACTTGATTGGGGACCTTGTCCTTGACAGTCTCGACGATGCCCTTGGCCGATCGAGGTCCCTGGTAGTCCTCGACTGTTGGCTTGCCGTATTTCTTGCTGGGACGGACAATCTTGAGAGTAGGGAAGCCCTGGACACCCATGTTTCCGCAGAAAGGCTTATTCATCTCTTCATCGCAGTTGACGGCGGCGACCTTGGCGATTCCTTGAAGCGACTTGGCCGCTGTTTCGTAGGCAGGCTTGAGGTTCTTGCAGTGGCCACACCATGGCGCGTAGAATCTGGAGATGTAAGAATGCGAAACTTGGTCAAGATGATTGTAGCTTACTCGACAATCTAACATTTTATTAGTCTGCGATTTTCAAACCAAGGAGTGTACACTTACAGAGGTGTAGTTTGACTTTGCAATGACTCGGTCGTAGTCCATGCCGTTAATCGAGACGACGGCGCTGTTCTTGGAGTACATGCTCTCTGCGCGCGCATTGAGAGCCAGAGCAGCCGTAGCGGCGAACAGGGTCGATGTGCGCACCATGATTGAGGTGGTAGTGTGTAAAGTAAAGTGGAGAACAGCAGGAGAGAAGAAGAGGAGCTGCTGCAGGGCTTATAGGTGTTCACCAGGCCTTGATGCCAGGTTGGCCTTTTCTTTTCATTTGCAGCAGCATTGCCCGTGTGTCTACCTGGCCAGAGCTGCGATGCGGGGAGACAGGGATGCTGCTACACACTAGCGCCTATGACCGCATCCTCCGCGCGCCGAGGGCAGCCTAATATCCATGTACTATATTCACCCCCTCCAAAACACCCACGTCCTGCACGCAACACCATCGCATATCCACAGCCATGGCCAGTGTCACTCCAGCCAAGCTCAAGAAGCTGCAGCTCGCTGAGCCGGCCAAGCGCGCCGCCCAGCTCGAGCGCGTCAAGCCTATCATGACCTACTGGCGTGAGTACCACCATATGTTTCTACCCAGCGCGCATGCTAATTACCATGATTAGTGAGGTTCTACATGGTTCAGAAAATAATCGCCGGTGGTCTGCACTCGGCCGACCCAGAGTGTACTGCCTACACGACCGATCTCATGGAGAAACTCGAACAGGCAAAGGCCGAGAACCCTGGCGAGGAGGCCTTGGTCGACGACACCGTCGCAAGCGCTTACTGCGAGCAGTTTGCCCTCCAGACGCTGGCCAAAGCGGAGCGCGAGATGGCTGAGAACAGAGTCAATGGGTTCGTCTCTCGCGCATGGGATCATGAGTGCCCAAGCTAACTATCTTGGACAGACAAACAGTTGATACTCTGCGCGCAGCCTCCACATTCCTCGAGATGATGTCCGTCTGGAAAAATAACGACGCTGAAATCGCCGCAAAGACAAAGTACGCCAAGTACCACGCCCTACGCATCCTCAAAGCTATCAAGGCTGGTGAAGATCCCAATGCCACGAACCCCGTGCAAGAAACCCAACGAGCTGCATCGCCGCCTGCTTTAGATCCAGAAGACCCAGAGGTACAGCGTATAAACCAGGGCGCTCCACCGCAAAGCCCGTACCAGTCCTACGTTGAGTCGGCCCCAGATACCTCGCAACCATCGCCCAACTTCTCCGCTGCTCCAGTGTCGCCTCCTGCTCCCGATCTCCCTTCTGCGCCCATCGGATACACACAGCCCTCGCATGGCGACGTATCTCCTATGTCACAGCCCGCCCAGTCACGGCAGGGCTCTGTCACTTCTATAGGCGGGGGGTATTTCCCAAAGACAGATCCTCCTACCTTCACGGGAGAGTCGGCGCCACCCGGTCTACCAACAGCACCAATGGATCGCGATCCCTTGACATCTTCTCTGCCTACCAGTCCCCAAGTACCGCAAGCGCCTGGTGCATCGGATCCTGCGAGCTTCTACCAAAATCCTGCATCAACACCAGCCGCTCCGCCTGTCCAGAATACCTACCAACCTCCTCCGCAAAATCAATACGCACCACCACAGACAAGCGCTTTCCCGCCTCAACAACAATACACACCAACGCCGCTCCAGAACCCGTATGCTCAACCCACACCGCCAACCCAACCTCCACAGCACTATTCCAATGGGCCTTTCAAGAATGACGAAGACTCGATTGCGCTGGCCCAAAAGCACGCCAAGTGGGCAATCTCGGCACTAAATTTCGAAGACGCTGACACCGCGGTAAAGGAACTACGGATCGCTCTCAAGGCTTTGGGTGCATAAAGTTCGGATTGGTTACTTTGTGTGACGTGAAAGATTTCCACATATTGCATTTATGAAAGTCATGATATTTGCCGGTTTGCTGTATACCCATGTTTGTGGACGTGTTGGAGGAGGATCAAGGTCTCTGATGTAACTTGAAGGTAGATGCAGACAACAAAAGGAATTAAAAACGATGCTCTTGTCCGCCAGACATTGGCGCGCAGTTTGCCTCACGTGGCCATGTTTACGTTTCAAAAGGACCAGTTCAGGCGTGACATTAGAACATAGGTACGATATACTTGCAGGAAAATAGCGAGACTCATGAATCAGTCCCCACTGCTTCCGCCCTAGCAGATGCCAAGACACGAGTGCACGTGCCCTTTAGGCCAGAGCTTAAGAAATCCAGCCGAAGCTCATCTTCACTCCTCATCGACCTTCACAGCACAAGGCCGAGCTGCATGTAGTCATGCTTCTGGGAAAGCCTCGCACAAGCTGTAACTCATGATACAGCGGCGACAATGGCGCCCATCACACCTTTCAATGCGGCGGATATAACTGAAAAAGCGCGGCGAGAGCTGCTTCTTCTGCTCGAAGGTGTAAGGTAATATCAGCGCCGCAACGTGCTGCCTCATCTAACACATGCAACCAGATACGAGGAAAGAAGAACCTCGTGCTTGAGAAGACGCTTGCCGGCCCGCTGAATCTCCTTGTCAAGTTCTCGACGCTACAAGAATATGGCGTTGACAAGCCCTTTTTCCTTGAGAACGACAACGTCGACTCCTCACAGCGCAACATTGTCTTCCTCGTTAGAGGCGAAAAGGCAAAGACTGTGATGGCTGTTGCTGGTAAGTGAAGCTTCTCGGCTTCCTTGCTTCACTCCTCGCATGCTGCACAGCATGTTTTGGGTCAAAAAGTAGGCTAGGCAGATTTTTACCTACTCTGTCTGGCCAGTCTTGATCCCTAGAATAAACAAAGCGCTTTTATTGGATTGCCTATCATCTATATAGGATCAGTCTATTGTACGGTGCTAACATCCTAGATAGATCAGATAAAACGTATTCGACGCGACAGCGAAATTGAACATGAATTCTCCATCTTCTGGGTTCCCCGCCGCACTTTGACGTCCGATCAACTACTTGAAGAAGCAGGTGTTCTGGGTGAAGCTAGTGTGAGCGAGTGGCCATTGTTTTTCGTGCCTCTTGCAGATGATGTCTTGTCGCTTGAGCTGGAAGATGCCGTGTCGGA